TTCGGATTTGTTGCGGGAGGAGGAGGAAAGCGGCGGTGCAGGAATCGAGAGAAGAGGATGAGCAGCTGCGACGATGCAAGGAAGGGTGCGGATGTGATGGAAGGGAAGAGAGGGAGGAGGTCGGATTGCTATAGAGGTACTTGGAAGATCAACTGATGTTGGTTGGATCTGTGTACGATTGTGGGGAGGAGGAGGAGGAGGAGGAAGATCATGGTGATCGGGATCTGTTGGAAAACCCGATCTGGGGTCTGCTGGAGAAAAAATGAGAAAAAAAAAAGAGGAAGAAGGTGGGAAGGGTAAATTTGTAATTGTATTTTAAAAATTTTTTGGTTTTGTAGGGTGTGTTGAGTCGGGTGTTGATTCATGGTGTGCCTATCATTGTCCAAATTTATAATATCACGTAATATTATAAATGCAATTAATTATAACATTATTAGTAGAAAAAAATATGAAAACTAAAGTTATTTTAAGATAGATGGAGTCTATGTTAACAACTCAATTTTGACCTAATCAACGTTGTCATCCCATCATTGTTAAAGATTCTTAAAGGCACTATGCATGTATTTAGAAATCGATTTAAACTCGATCCTTGGAATTATTTATTTTAATGATTCTGCATCAGCGCTGAAGTGTTACACGTGGCAAGACTGACATTGAATAATTTTTCCAGTCATCTAATGCACGAGATGGATTGGAAAAAAAAAAAAAGGTCGTCTATGTTGACTTGACAAATGGTGATTTTTATGCTTAATTTTATCACTAGGCTGCTTTGGTAATGGGGAGTGATTAATTAAAAGTTGAGTAATGGAGCTGCCTAATTACGTGTAGTCCAGAAGGAACATAAAAAACAAGCAAAGAAGTGTTGGGTTTTTCTCGTACAATCTATTTTATAGTGGCTTTTAATGGCGCAAATGCTAGTGTGATTTCAAAGATTAACTATTATTTTTGAAAAGGGTAATGGAAAGACACGACAATATGTAAACAAAAAATAGTCCTTAGAACCTCAAATGATAGGTATGTTGTTAGGTAAAAATTAGATTTGTTTGTAAATAAGTGTTATTTTGTATATAAAATTTGAAACTTAATTATTATTTTTTGATTGCACTATACTTCACAATTAATTTGACTAGATGTAATGGTAACTCTTTTGACATCGTCCTTTGCGGTTAAACTAAATAAATAAATAAACCCTCTATTGACAAGTCAAGCTATTTTCTTAATCTTGTACAAACAAGGAAAAAGGTTAAATTTGAGTTTTTATGTGTGTAAAAAACAGGTCAACGTTAGAAATTAAGAGAATTCCATCATTGCTTCTAATCTCTAGCGTCTTAAAACAAGATTTTTAAACGTTGGTATGGCACATTTATTTTTTCTTTTGAGGGAGATTAGTATTCTGAATTGCAGGCGAACTCAGTCCGTTTGTGCATGAAAGAGAAAAATATTAAAAAAAAACCCTAAACATTTAAAAGTACAATAATTAATATATTACAATATTTGTTGTAAAGTTATTTGTTATTTTAATGGGTTGTTGAGGCTTTAATTAGGCAGCTAATGACATACTTAGGGAAAGATTAATGGAGTTTCTTTGGTAATTGCGTTGGGTTCACATGTCTTTATAAGAAATTGGAAGATTCTTCACTTTCCACCACACAAACAACTCATAAAAATAAGACCCACAAATCATGCGTTAGACAGCTCAATTAGATTTGGCTCCTTAACAGAATAAATTCATAATTAATCACAAAATTTTCTCCAAATTATTGACAAAATCTCTTTGGGTCTAATTAATCCTATATACTATATATTTAGCATTAATTCACTATATTTCCCCAAAGAAATTACTTAACTTTGGTGAATTAATCCCAACTCTCTTTTGAGAAATATATATTTCACTTTCAAGTCTATATCTTAAATATTTATGAAAACATTCAAAAGATTCCATTCAAGTTTTGTATATGCTTTTAATCCCAAAAAATAAATCTTTAATTTCTCATTCAAGAAAACAAAAATAGAAATGGAAAATGATTCATTGTCATTGTAGATCAACATTAGATGATGGTAGTACTTTCCTTTTTTTTTTTAATTAATAAGATTTACGAATCAATATACATCTACTCATTATAATATTATTATGTTACCATATATTGTGAACAAATGTTGTGTATTGTTTGTTAAAGAATCATTTGTGAAATAAAAATTCCTGTTGAGCTACCAAAACAAGATTTCTGGAATCTATAATTTAAATGTCTAATCTAACTTTATAATATTTTTTTTGCATATGTAACTTTATTTTATAGTTTTTCCTTTTTGCTTTGGAGACAATCACTTTCAAGTAATAGACTTGATCAAGTGAATGACTAAAGGAACCCAAAAAAATTTATTCAGAAGATAGCATATGATAGTAATTATTTATGGTTGTAATTCATATTGGAATAAAGAAATTATGGAAGTTCTCAAAATGAGGCAAAAGATAGAGATTGTGTCAAAGAGAAGCATGAAATCTATGCAATATATATAATCTATTAAATCTGCACAAAATCTGAGCCAGCAAAGCAAAAATTACTCTCTGGTGCACAGGCTGCTTAAAAAGGGGGCATAGGGGATCTCAGATTTCTCAGCACCTATTCCTCCTTCCTCCTTGGCCAAGAAAATTAAAGCTTGGGATTTGCAAAGAAACTTCTCTCTCTCTCACTCTTTTTCTTTCTCTCAAAGAAATTAAAAAGAGAAACTAGGAGATGGGTAGCAGTTATTTTGGAGAGCCAAACATGGGAAGCGATGGAAGAGGGGCAGGGTCTTCAAGAAAAGGGAAGAAGAACTCAGATAAACCAAAGCAGCCACAGAGAGGGCTTGGTGTTGCTCAATTAGAGAAGATCAGATTGCATGGCCAAATGGGTTGCAGCAGCTATCAATATCCCTCACTTCATTCTCCATATCCTACTAATTTTAATCAGGTTCATTTCTTTCTCTCTCTTTCTCATAGGTGATGAAGTTGTGAAATTTCATGAGATAAAAAGTTTTCTTATTTCTTCGCTGATGAATTACATGCAGGAAGACATGAGAATGCAGAGTACAGCTACTGCTTATTCATCTATTTCGCCATCTTCATCTTTTTCCTATTCATCATCCTCATCAGCTTCCTCAACTTCTTATGGATTCCACCCCTGCATGATGGTAACATTCTCTATCTTTGGACATGATTTTGTACCTCACTATTAAGTGTTGGAACAAAGCAGCCTTCACCATTATCAGTGCCACAATCACCACACACTTCTGTGATGGAAATGGATTCGCAGTTTTTTATGCGAAAATGATTTCATTATTGGAAAATTATTTCTTTGAAAGTTTAGAACTATGCTGGCTATTTACAAACGAAACCTAGATTTTTGTTTCTCCATGATGCATTTACATGCCATTCATATTATTCAGAAAGAGGAATTGAACTGATTATTGTATAACGTCTCCCTTACATTGCAGATGGGGGTAGGAGAATATGAAAGAGGAAGTATCAGATATGGTGATTCTCAATCTGCTACTCCCGCAAGGTGAATATATATACACTTTCCTCTTTTCTTTTTTTGTAGAAAAATAGGTTTCTTTCTTGGGGATTTAATTCGGTTCTAATTATGAAGTTGTGTTCTGTAATTTTAATCAGCTGGAACTCTGGCGGTAGCATGTTAGAAGCTCAACATTTTGGACAACCAAACATGATCACCAGACACTTCCTAAGCCGACATGTTGAGGTTTGTAATTTACCAATATATTCATGGATATGAATCTGTTTCTGCACATATTAATATACTCTTCCTTACACATACTTCACATGATCCTTATAGGATGCACAAACAAAGAAGAGCAAGAAACACCGGAGTGATTCAATGGGGTCAAGCAGTCAGAATTCAGAATCAAGTGAAACACAAGAACTAGATTTGGAGCTTAGATTGTCTCTTTAAAGATCACATTTTATGCATTGATCTAATTAAAATTGTAAGTTCAACTGCATATGATTTGAGGAAAGCAGAGATGAACTTAAAATGGCATAGGGTATCTTTCGGAAGTAATTAATGGTCGTCTTGTCACTTTGTGTAATGAGAAGTTCAGAATTTTTTATTGTTGTTGATGAATTTTCATGGAAATGAGAAAGTGACAAATCTAGCCAATTCTTGTTTTTCAATAAGAGCGGCTAGGAGACATCATCTAACATTAGCATTTTCGCATGAAAAAGTTCGAGTTCCATTCATTGAATTGAATCATGTTAATTACTTACCCCTATTGCTTAATAGTTATTTACTTTATTAAAGAGAGGTAAAGGGGTTTGAGCAACAAAAGCACGACAAGGAAAACATGTTTCAATCAAACCAAGTACTAGTTGTTGGAAAGATTGTCAATTAATTAGGCAAAAGTGAGACAAAAAACTGTACTTGTATGTTGTGATGGCTTGAATCATTTCTTTTCATGGGGCTACATATCATTTATTTATTTATTGCATCAATAATATGTTATACAAAGGATATACTCTCTCTTTTCTCAAATCACTTGAACCTCAAGCATCCGTCTCAAGGTTTGAGTTGAAATTTCCAAGAGGGTCTCAAGTCTTTCTAGTTGTGATACTCCAACATAGAACATTAATATTTTAAATAAAGAAGAAATTCCACTCAAAATAGAGGCCAAACAAAGCCCAAAAAGATATGTTTGATTGGGGATATGTTTCTAAACCCATTAAGAGGGGGAGATTCAAATCTAGCTCTCTAATCTAGGCCAAACAAAACCATTCTTACTTTATAAAACTTAAAACTAAAATATCATAATAATTTTGATGTGTTCTACTATGTTTTCCTGTTTTTCTCTATGCTTTCTTTTTTATGTATATGAAGAGAGGGAGATTCAAATCTAGCTCTCTAAACTGAGGAGTTTAGATTAGAGAGCTGCCATCTTTACTTGCATCATTTTTCATGTAAAATGTGTTTGTTTTTCTAATAATAACTAGAAAGATCAAAGCACTTTTGGATATGTGCTTTCCAAAAATGAGGAATCATAAATTAATTGGCAAATAAAGATGGTAGCTAGCTAGAACTAGCTTGGTAAATGAAATGGAACCCTTTTGCAAATTGCTTTCCCTTGTTAATTCAAAACTTACGTACCATACTCATACCACTCTAGTTAATTTTCAAATTCTATAGCAACTTATATTTGATAACCTTTTAATATTTTTATCTTCTATAACTCTTGCAAATTGGCTTGTAACCTTACATTTTCATCAATAATAGAAAAACATAAGATTACAAGCCAACCAATATAGTGTAGCATGGTACAACAAAACGTAACTTTAGAAGTATGACACACTTGGTTAACCATAAGACATAGAGCAATCTAATGGTTACATATGAATATTGTAGTTGTTGATAAGTTGGAATTTCATGTATAATATGGTGCCATTCTATCCTTGATTTTATTTATATTTAGATGGGTTAAATGTGATTTTATTGAATTTTACATGATTTTAATTGTTTGTGTAGAAAAGACTAATTGAAAAAAATTAGAAATTTGAGGATTAAATCACCAACTTTTCAGAAACCTAGGGACAAAACTACAAGAAGAAAAGTTGAAACTGGTGACCAAATTGAATCAATCCAAAATTTGAAGATAAAAAAACACAAAAAGTGAAAGTTGAGGGAACAAAACTGTTACCTTCCCATTGAAGAAAAAAAATTTGCTTAAAGGTCTAAAACCCGGCTCAGACTTATTTCCACAATTAGGTAGAGGTGTCGAACCCTTCGAGCAATTTTCACTCCAACATAATAATGTCAAATTCGAATTTTTTGGCATAGGTGGGTGTCACTCCTTTTCTTTGGTCTTTTTGGATCTTTATTATAAATATCAATTTAATATACCAAATTTTAGAGAGTTCTTTTGAATATCTTTGGAACATTTTTTGAGATCAAGAAAGAAGCAATAATAAGGGATTAAACAAGAAAAAATTAAAGTTTGGAGCAAAATTAATATTTGGTATTCAACAAGAGAAAAAAGTTTCTCTTGTGTGTTGGAGCCTAAGGGTAGGGTTTTGTAGTGATGGTAGTCCGAGGTTTTTGACCTCGGACCTTGGATGATCTAAACTATTCCCAGCTTCACTTTAGACGTTGCTTGAAACTTGATGAGCTTAGTCGATCTCGAGCTAGTCCCCTCTATTCTTGCTCTATAGTAACTCTATACATGCATAGATCTTTCAGGTGAGTTTCCTGTGATTATTAACACATATAATCTCGATTGGTTGTGAAGAACAACACATGAACGTCTCCTTGAAGGCTATAAATGCCCCTCAAGGGTTCTCCTCCAAAGGTAATTGGAAATCGATCTCAAGCTTAAATTTCACTTCATATCTGGTAGCTTTGTTTATTGCTAACTTAGGCATAAGAGTATCTACCTCGAGGACCAACCTCAGGGCTTTGCAAGCTAGCTGAAGTGAAGATTCGAGCTCGGGAGCACTTTGAAGTTATCTACAACAACAGGTTTGGGTGATCCAAGCTGGTTCTTCAGGTCAAATAGGTGCCTTCCTTTTCTTCTCTTATATGCCTCTCATCATCAGTTCTGGTATGGTTTTGGCACAATTTTGTGTAGTGACAATGTTAACAATATGGTGGGCTACATGTTTCTCCAGGTTGGTCTTGAAGTAGCTAGGGTCTCTTGTGGTGGCAGAGTCCATGGAAGGATGACAGCTTGGAAGTCGTGTCTCTATTGATGAAGATTAGGGCTCACTTAAATCCAACTCTCTCAAAGGATGAGGGTGGAATTGCTTCTTTGGTTGATGCTTGGTTCAAGAATAGGAAGGGTGAACCGATATTCAATTTTGTAGGTAAAGTTCTATCTCATAAGAGAATTAACTTGAATGCTTTTTAGAATGCCATGACAATTTCTTGGGTTCTGAGAGGGAGTCTTAGGGTGATGGAGATTAGTGAGAGCATCTTTATGTTCCAACTTGGAGATCAAGGAGATTAACATAAGGTTCTTTATTTGACACCCAAAATTTTCGTAATTTGAAGATATTCTTAAAGAAATTCCGGGAAAATTTCACACATGAACAATACAAGTTCACCAATCCATATTTTTTATTTAATAGTCAGCCTTAGAACAAAAAAGGTTGGACGTTTGATTGGTGTCTCACTAGGAGAAGTTCTTGAAGATGATGGAAAATATAGCAAGGCACTATGGGTCCAAATTTGTTTGAGAGTGGAAGATCCCCTTAGGAAATATAAATCATCCAGAATATCTAATACAAAATCAGGAACGTAGGTTCAAATACGAGAGACTTCCTAAATTTTGCTTTCTTTGTGGTTGTGTGGGGCATTTGGAACATGACCGTGAAGTTGCTCTTTAAATCAAGGAGGCTAGTGGGAGGGTGGTGCACTGGTTTGGAGCATGATTGAAAGCTGCATTAGAAAATGGACAATAATTAATACACTCTCCAGTTCAACACATTGCATGACATATTTTGGTTCAACCATTAAAATTTCTCTCTGGAAATTTTCCCACCATAAATTCAAATTTAAAAATAATAATTTTTTAATAAGTATATTGTAGAGTGTGTTGAACCAAAATTTGTATAAATCATTTTCCTTAGAAAATATATAGTACCCGGTGGATATTGACGAATAAGATGATTTATTAGTTTTAGAAGCCTCTATGAAGGAAAATGATGTGTGCACACTTGGATTCAACACCCGGGTGTGCACACTCCAAAAAAAGGGAAAAATGGAACACCCGAGTCTCCATTTTTTTTTTTTTTATGTGGAGTGTGCACACCCGGGTGTTGAATCCGGGTGTGCACCAATCATGGTCCCTCTATGAAAATGCTCGATAAAGAAGTGGCTAGCTCTAAACATTCTGATGTTGTTGGAGAGAATAAGGATCAGGAGGCTAGCTCAAGCACAAGGATAGTAGATCATACAAGAAAGAGTGCAAAGGAAGACTTTGACTTGTAGCACAATGATAGAGAAGATGCAATTTTAGAAGAAAATGGGGGCCAAACATTAGACATTACAGTTGGTGGAAGTTCCTTTATAGCAAGCCTCAGATGTTCTTGTCGAGCTTGGTTGGAGAGAAAGAGTGGGAGGAGCTAGCGATAAATGGAAAGGAAGTGTAAGTGGGCTTGCTAACTCACCTAACAAGAGAGGGATACAAAAAGGAAAGAAACAAGGTTGAGGTAAGCTTGGTTTCCGATCGAGCTCACAAAGTGATGATGGACAACTTAGGAGTGGCCATTGTCCAATAAGAAGGTAGCCATGATCCTCTAGTTGGATAGTTTCTTAATTAAATAGCAGGATGACTATAAGCAAAATGGGGATTGTTGATTGTGGAACTCCCTACTCTCCCCTATTAGGCATACCAGTTAGGAATGTCAAGCAGCTTTGAACACTCAAATAGACATTCTTCCTATTTTGGTAGCTCTAGGTGTCATAATCCGATTTTAACTAGGTATCTATTTGACAATTTTCAAAAGTTTCAATTAAAGCTTCAATGAAAAAAATAAATTAATTAATTGAGAAAAAGGGAAAAAAAAATTGGATAGATAACGACTTCATTTAATTTTGGCATGCCAAGACTAGGTATTCCCTCATAGCAATAGGTTGCAATATCTAGGTATATGTGGTTTTCTACACTCAATTGCATTTATATGTTTTAGGCATTGTTTTCTTTTGTAGTGCTATACGTTGTAGCTTCTATTACGGCTTTAGGTGCCTCGGTTTAGGGATTCCTATATAATTTCTACTTTATTAATAAATAATCTCTATTGTCTACAAAAAAAATTAAAATTTCAACATTTTAAAATTAAGTTTTGTTTTTCTTGAATTATTTATTATCTTGTTAAATACTCTCATGTTTATAACTCAATTTTTAATCTTTTTATCTTTAATTATGAACTAATTCAACCAATTAAAACTAGGATGTAATCTAATTAACGTAACATAGATTTTTGTAGGTTTATATTTTTGGATTGCTATTTCATGATTAGTATATATGATATTATTGTTATTAATACTTTTTAATACTTGATCATCGTTAAAATGATCTATAAAACATAATTGATATCGAGAGAAGATGTTATGGAGATCTTTAATAATATATGCTATGAATTAATGAAAATTAGAAATGGACCAATGCTATTTGTGTGATATTATAGTGATTGATAAACTCAGATTAAAAGATCCTACATACATAATTAAAAAGTTTCAAAAAAAAATTATCACAAAATATAATGCATCTTTTTTTTTTTTTTAATTTAAGTTCACAAAATATAGTGGATTAATAAGTGTATGGCAGTTAAAAAAAAAAAGTGAGTGAAGTTTTGACAAAACATAATTAATGCATCTTCATCTCCAATCAGACCCTAATGGAAATTTGCATTCTCCATTTTAATAGCTTTTTTAATTAGTTCGTCCTAAATAACTTAAAAACATCTAACTATTTTTTAGCAAACACTAATTTTTGCAATACCCTTGTTCAAACTTCCAAAATTTTCGCCGCTTAAAATGAACTTTCAAAATTTTCTGGCCTCAGATTCTATAGAAATGGGGGAGACAGCATGGTATAAATTATAAAAGGAGGAAGCAACCCCCACCAAGAGGTGAGGGGGTCCCATTCCCAAACACTCTTCAGGGAAAATGTTGCTTAGGACCCTTTGTGTTCTCCTCTTGGTTGTAAGTGGGCACAGCAACATTTTCCCTTTCCCATTCCCTTTCCCCAATCCTCGTTTTGGTTTGGATGATCCTACGGACGACACGCCTATTGAAACCGACCCCTTCAAAGGGAGTGGAGCCGACCCCGAACCCTTTGGAGCTGATCCCTTTGAAACCAAACCAGACGTTGACTCTGTCGAAACCAAACTAGACTCCGACCAAATCAAAACTAAACCTGTCAAGAGCAATTTCAAGGGAAAATGGGAGTTGTTCACGGACAACTCGGGCGTCTCCGCCATGCATTTGATCTTGCTCCCCAAGGTCAATAAGGTCCTCATTTTTGATTCCACCATTTGGCTCAAATCTAACATCAAGTTGGATAATCCATGCCGTGTTGTCGACGAGGGCAAAGGACCAGTGCATGATTGTTATGCTCATGCAGTCTTGCTCGACATTGAGACAGCATCACTTACCCCTCTCAGGGTTTGTTCGGTCATCAAATATTTTTTTTTTTTTTTGTGGTATTTCACGGTTAAGTGATATCTTGAATTGATTTGTAATTTTTTTTTATTATTTCTCTAATTTTTTCCACAATAGCTTCATTACGATACGTGGTGTTCCTCTGGTGCTCTTTCCGTAGATGGAACCCTAGTAAGCACAGGCGGTTTCAGGAATGGGTCCGACACAGCTAGATATCTCGGCTTGTGTGATGATTGCCAATGGAGGGAATATCCAGGGACACTCGCCAATGGAAGATGGTACGTAAGAACTTATATTCTTTTTAAAAAGGAATTTTAAAACCTGTAGCACAAGTAAAAAAATATATTTATTATAAATTTTTATTATTAATTTATACGAAAAAAATAAAAAAATTAATTTTAATTTTATTAATTATTTAATTAAATCATTTCAAGTGCTATTAATAATGAAAATAAAATTAATTTTATTAATTTTTTATATACATTAATGATAAAAAGATATAATAAATGTAATGTATTAGTTAAAAAAAATTTTGTAATAATTTTGTTTCGGTCTCAGTCTTTTCGAAATAAAACACCTTGTTCCTTACGTTTTATTTGATCTTAGCCCCTAACCTTTTTAAATTAGACACGTTTTCCAGTATAATGGGAGGACTAATTAAAGTAAACCAGTCTAACATAAGAAGCTTCCCAATATAAGATTTGGGATCAAAGTATCACACATTAGAAAGATTCGGGAACAAAATAATTTTTGCTTATTTATCTTCTTCTAGGTCCTAACGCATTTTCGTTGGCTTGCCACCAAAAGGTACTCGACACAGGTAACTTTGGCTGACGGTAGGTTTATGGTGTTCGGTGGCCGAGAGAGTCCAAACTATGAATTTCTTCCGGTGGAAGGACAACGCAACACTAAGCCCATCCTTTTCCCTTTCCTGGTAGAAACTAAGGACCCTGTCGAGAACAATTTGTACCCTTTCGTCTACCTCTCCACCGACGGTAATCTCTTTGTTTTTGCCAATAATCGGTCAATTCTATTGAATCCCAACACACAAAAGATCGTCCACGAGTTCCCAGTTCTCCCTGGTGGCTCCCGCAACTACCCTGCATCCGCTTCATCGGTCCTCCTCCCAATTGTGCTTAGGCCTAATGAAAACCGCGCTAGAGTCAAGGCTGAGGTGTTAATATGTGGAGGGGCGCAACATGATGCGTTTTACTGGGCAGATCAACACAAACCCAAAATTTTTAACCCTGCTATTGATGACTGTGGAAGAATCGACATTACGACCAAGAAACCTGCTTGGAAGATTGAAAAGATGCCATCACGGCGCATTCTAGGTGATGCAATGATTCTTCCGACCGGAGATGTGCTGCTACTTAACGGTGCCAAGGCAGGTTCGGCTGGATGGGATGATGCAAGGGAGCCGAATTTTACCCCTGTTATGTACAGAAAATCTACAACTGAGCGATTTAGAGAACTAAAGCCGTCGAAAATTGCTCGGTTGTACCACTCAACCTCTGCATTACTTCCAGATGGGAAAATCATGGTGGCTGGAAGCAACACCAACAACGGTTACGTTTACGATGCTCTGTTCCCCACCGAGCTTCGTGTGGAGAAATTTTCCCCTCCTTATTTAGACCCGGCAAATTCCAAGTGGAGAGTGGAGATCGTGGAGGGTACCACCACCAGTATGAAGTACGGAAGCGAGGTGACGGTTCAAGTTAGTACTCCGTTGGATGAATTGGACAAGAGCAAGATTCAGGTGACAATGTATGCACCGGCTTTCACCACACACGGGATCTCCATGAACCAGAGGCTGGTTCAATTGGGAGTCGTTGAGATCACCAACGATGGGGCCGGTACCTACAACATCGTCGCCACCGGACCTCCTTCCGGTAACATTGCTCCTCCTGGTTACTACATGCTCTTTGTGGTTCACAAGGGCGTCCCAAGTGTTGCTGTGTGGGTTCAGATAAAATAAGCCCGGCAACGGCTGTCGCGGCTATACTAATTTATTACTTTAGTTTGGTGATTCATCTTGTCCACATTGCTAATGCTAATTGGTATCCATGTAAGACTTATGCAATAATTCAAACTGAGAAGTAAACACAGGCGATATATTCATATATTTCGTTTATCTTACTCATTACATAGAAGATAGAAATGAAAGGGCTAATAATCATTTCTTTCTTCTTCATTATTGTGATATCCCAATAATCACAAGTTTTTTTAACCATTCAAAAGTATTGCCCAAAATCCAACACAATAATAAACATAAAGCTTTCCATATAGGCAAGTCATTGACTCATTAAGCCTTAACTTAAGCAAAATTCGGTTCACATTTAAATAACCATATATTTGAAACAATATGCAGTACCATGTACATCTGTCCAAAAAACCACAAATTCAATAACAACAGAACTTCCATACAAAGAATTGAAGATTAAATGTTGCAGCAATCAAAGCAAGCACACTAGGAGATGCAAAGCCAAACACCCAGAACAATAAAAGCCGTACCCAATAAAGCGCGCCCGACCTGCGTCTTTTCGCCGAGTAGCATCCCAAAGACTGCAGTGGCAGCAAATGTCGTGGCGTTTGTGACAGGTACGGCGAGCGAAATTGGGGCCTCGCTTAACAGAGCGAAAAAGGTAGCGGACGCCGAGAGGTTGATGATGAAAGGGATCGAGTACTGCCAAAAGAAGAGGAGGGTTAGCCAATTAGAAAGGGAATTGAGGATTTTTTGTTGGAGTTTCAGAGGTGGGCTCGGTGGGGGAGGAGCAGATTTAAGAGATTTGTCCCAAAGGAGTGCGCCGCGGCGCATTGCGGCGTTGGTGGCGCCCCAGATTAGGCCCACTGCCACCATCTTCTCCACGTCTCCGATCATCGGTCTGAAGGCGAATAGGGTTTGTACCTGAAAAGCCTAACGAAAAGAGTACCAGCTGACTAGAGAAAAATAACGGGAAACAAAACGACTGCGTTCCAACGTGAGACTTACCGTTCTTAATTTCAAACCGAAAGATGGAAAATGATTTTTGCACCACATTTTTATCTTATTTTTTATCCAATTTGATATATTATTAAAAT